ACTGTTGCATCCTTCCCTCGGCCTGTCCTTGGCCACCTCCGTTGGCTGCGCCCCGCTCGAGAAGCTTCGGCATGGGCGCCTACGGTAGGTTTGCGTCGTGTCGACCAGCGGCGACCCCAGCGCGGGCGTTCAAGGTTGAACGCCGCCGGCGACCCAGAATCGATCGATGTTGAACGACCGGACGTTGCGGCAGCGGCCGATCGTTCAAGGTTGAACGATCCCTGCGGTGTCAAAAACCAACGCTGGGGTCGGCACGACACGAACCTGCCGTAAGGCCCCTGCGTACTTATCGCGCCTCCTAGTGATAGGGTGACTGTGCTGTCCTATGGGTCACTCGCGGGGGCGCGAAGATGATGGCGCCTTGCGCGCCGCGGCGCGGGCCAGAGCGGCCGCCCGCCCGTCCCCGAGGAGGCGGCGCGGGGGCGCCGGCGGCGCGGAGAGAGGGCCGCGCTGCGCGCGCTGCGGGCCTGGGCCAGAGCGGCCCCCGGCTCCCAAGGGGGGCGACGCGAGGCTGCGGGGTTGCGAAGAGACCCGCGCGTCGCAGGGCGCGATGCACGATGCGCCGGGGTAGTCGACCTGGACTCCGGTTCTCCTCCCCTTGTTTTCCGAAGCGGGGATCTGTCCATCTCCACCGCCTGGGGGAGCAGTGTGCAGGATCCTCGGCAGGCGGTGCGTATGCGTGTGTGTGTATATATTCTAAGCCGCTCGAGGCGCAAAGTTCTTATGCCCCAGCGCCTTACCTTGCTTTGGGGCATAAGAACTGATATGGCTGCTGATGTTCCTCTCCGCCACCTCAATTCCGCCGCAGTGGGGCTCGACGTTTCAGCGCTTTCGGTCCCGCGCCCGGTTGCGGCGACGCAAATGGCAGGACGACGACGACGTCGACGACGACGACGACGACGCTGACCACGACGACGACGACGAGAAAATCGAGGGTGGGGACGAGGACGACGGCGCGACGCGACCCGGCCAACCAACCTGACGAACCAGACGAACCAGACGAACCAGACCAGCCAGACCAACCAGACCAATCAGACCAGCCAGACCAAGCATACCAGCCAGAACCGAACGCGCCAGACTAACCGGGCCAACCAACCAAACCAATTAAAGGAAGTAGACGAAGCAGACCAGCCAGACCAAGCAGACCAGGCAGACCAATCAATGAGACCAGACCTGTAGACCAACCGATCAGGCCAGACAGACCAGACCAGACCAGCCAGACCAAACAGACCAGCCAGACAAGACCAGCTAGACCAGCTACACCAGCCAGACCAACCCCAACCAGACCAGCTTGACGGGCCGGACCAGCCAGACCAACCAACCAGACCAACAAGACCAGACCAGCCAGACTAACCAGACCAACCAAACGAAGCAGACCAGCCAGACCAACCAGACCAACCACACCAGCTAGACTAAGCAGACAGCAGAACAAGTAGACCAAGCAACCAGACCAGCTTGGCCAGTCGATCCGGTCAGGCAGACCAAACCAGACCAGACCAGCCAGACCAACCAGTCCATCCAGAGCAGACCAGACCAGCCAGACCAGCCAGACCAATCAACCAGACCAGACCACCCAGACGAACCCGACCAGCCAGACCAACGCGACAGACCAACCAGACCAACGAGACCAGCCAGAGCAGACCAGACAAGACCAACCAGACCAACGAGACCAACGAGAAAAAACATACCAGCCAGACCAAGCAGACCAGCTTGACCAGTCGATCCGGTCAGGCAGACCAAACCAGACCAGACCAGCCAGACCAACCAGTCCATCCAGAGCAGACCAGACCAGCCAGACCAGCCAGACCAATCAACCAGCCAGACCAATCAATGAGACCAACCAGACGAAACCAGCTAGACCAACGAGACCAACGAGCAAAAAAACAGCCAGACCAAGCAGACCAGCTAGACCAACCAGACCGACCAGACCAGCCAGACCAATTAGACCAGCCTGGCGAACCAGACCGATAAAGCAACCCGAACCAGACAAACCGAACCAATCGGACGTACCACACCAGACGAACCAGACCAACGAGGTGAACTACTCGACCAACCAGTCGACGCGAGACCAGCCAGACCAGACCAGACTAACACGACCAGAGTAACAAGACCAGGATCGAGAAGCGGCCGCGTTTTTTCTCGACCTGGGCCGTTGTGGAGTACAGCTAAGTAAGCTCCATCGCCGAGCAGCGCCGCGCTGGGGGTCCATGCGTGACCACGTACCCCCCCAGACGGCGCCAGTCTGGAATCGTCAGAGATAGTGATGCTCTTCCTCCTCCCCCTCCTTCTACCCAACGCCATGCCAACGCCAGCTAAAGCCTCAGCACCAGGCTCAGAGCAGACCAACCAGACCAGCCAGACCAGATGCAAAAAAAACTGCAATGCAAACAAAAACTGCAATGCAAAAAAAACTGCTTTTCGGTCGGAGTCGTTGGCGCTGCCTCCCTGGACCTCCCCTAAACCACTCTCGCCTGAATCCTAAGCTAAAGCCTCAGCACCAGGCTCAGACCAGACCAACCAGACCAGCCAGACCAGATGCAAAAAAAACTGCAATGCAAAAAAAACTGCAATGCAAAAAAAACTGCTTTTCGGTCGTCGTCGTTGAAGATGCATCCCTGGACCTCCCCTAAACCACTCTCGCCCGAATCCTAAGCTAAAGCTTCAGCACAAGGCTCCAACCAGACCAGCCAGACCAGATGCAAAAAAAACTGCAATGCAAAAAAAACTGCAATGCAAAAAAAACTGCTTTTCGGTCGTCGTCGTTGAAGATGCATCCCTGGACCTCCCCTAAACCACTCTCGCCCGAATCCTAAGCTAAAGCTTCAGCACAAGGCTCCAACCAGACCAGCCAGACCAGATGCAAAAAAAACTGCAATGCAAAAAAAACTGCAATGCAAAAAAAACTGCTTTTCGGTCGTCGTCGTTGAAGATGCATCCCTGGACCTCCCCTAAACCACTCTCGCCCGAATCCTAAGCTAAAGCTTCAGCACAAGGCTCCAACCAGACCAGCCAGACCAGATGCAAAAAAAACTGCAATGCAAAAAAAACTGCAATTCGGTCGTCGTCGTTGAAAATGCATTCCGGGACCTCCCCTAAACCACTCTCGCTTGAATCCTAAGCTAAAGCTTTAGCTAAAGCTTCAGCACCAGGCTCAAACCAGACCAGCCCGACAACTCCGACCAGATACAACTCCGACCAGCTTGTTCTTTGGAAGCTTGGCGTCCCGCCGTGCGCTACACGGCTAAGAACTTTATATATATATATATATATATATATATATATATAGATAGATTCGGGCCTTGGGGCGTGAAGTATACCTGGCGTCAACATGGTCTTGTGTGCGCGCTATTTGCCGCTGCCACTACCGCGTGGACAGAAGGGTCCTGGGGCGGGATGCGCCACCGCCAGAGACTGGACAAGTTGAGTCTCGCCATCGCGCGCTAGCGAGCCTCCAGCACAACAGAAGTACGGAGAGTATGCCTCCCCATCACAGGATTATCCTCGCTCACCTCCCCGATCTGGAGGATCAAAATCGTATTGTTGCCGCTACTCCCCGGACCTTTCCCGGCTGGCATTCTGATGAGGATTTTGAGGCGAATCCAGCCGCGGTGACGAGGACTCTCAAGGACGAGCGACGGCATAAATTGTTACTCCTCTGCCTCTCCCCGTCCTCCTCATCCTTAGCCTCCGCCTTCTCCTCCTTCTCCTCCTCCTCCTCCTCCCCCTCCTCCTCGCCGCCGATGTCGTCGCGGGTCGCCGTCGCCGCCGCTGTCGCCACCCTCCCTCGTCCTGTTCCCCTTCCTCATCCTCCACGTCCTCCGCCTCACTCTCCTCCTCCTGCTCCTCCTCCTCCTCCTCCTCCTCCTCCACCTCCACCTCCTCCTCCTCCTCCTCCTCCTCCTCCTCCTCCTCCTCCTCCTCCTCCTCCCTCTCCTTCTCCACCTCCTCCCACTCCACCTCCACCTCCACCTCCTTCTCCACCTCCTCCTCCTCCTCCTCCTTCTAGCACAGCTGTTTCGAGGCCACGGGTGCCGCGCCGCCGACAAGACGTCGGGGGCGCCGCGCCCGCTGCCCGACACGGTAGGCCGGTGCCCCGACGGGCGGCTCGCCCCGGCGGCGCCGGAGGTCAAAAAGGACGGCGCTGCGCGGGGAGGGCCGACGAAGGAAGAAATTCGAAGAGGAACAACTTGCATGCGGTCCTAAGTTCGGGGGTGTATCGCCGATCTATCGGCGATGGGTACGCAGCGTCAGGGGGGGATAGGTTCTGTCACCCTTCCCTCGTCGCCACGGTTGGATTCGCCTCGAAGCTCTGGTGGAGAGGTCACTCCTGGAGAGGTCCGCGAAGTAGCAGCGTCGATGCCCTCTCGTCCCTCCCCATGTTCAGGGGCAGCGCCGGGTGGGTGGCAGGTTCTGGGGGGGGGCGCATCGCCCCGCACGTGCCCTCTCCTCGCCAATAGGGGGGGCCTGACTAGTCCGCCCCGCTCAGAAGCGCGCGGGGTCGCTGAGCATCGTGGATCTGTCGCCGACCTGTCAGCGAGGTGCACGGTGGGGGGCCCATGCCAAGAAACACCCTGCTTGCCTCCAGGGTTCCCTGGGTTTCTTGGGCTTCGAGGGTTTTGCGATGGAGGGCGCGACTGTCCCCACGCCAAGAAGCAGAGGACGTGCTGGGGTCTCAGTGTAAATGATGTGTTTTACCTGCAGCGTGGGCTTAACAAAGCCGTGATGCCAAAGGCTGAAAGGTGCACCTGAACGCACAGACAATTTGGGAAGAAACGCCATCGGCATGCGAGCGCATACACATGTACACAATATATGCATGTCAACTAAGCTCGCACATTCACACTGATCTTAAAATCTTGTTCCCGAAATTGGCTGGAACACGATAGCACGGATTATCTGATCATTGTCGCCGTCAGGCGTAAAATAAATACCACAAGATACGAAAGCTATGCAAATGTAAACGTGTTTGCTCGGCGTTCAGGCACAAAAGAAAAAACAGTTCACTGGCCCTCGTCCGGGCCTGGCAAATTCCTCGGGATGTGCAGCGAACCCGAGACCAAGCGACAGAACTGACCTGTCAAATCCATCGTCTTGGTGAGAACATCGGCCAACATATAAGCTGTGGGGACCCACCGCATCGGCACATCTGCCACGTTCATACTCTCGCGGGGGTCCACGGCAGCCTCCAGCTGCATGGCCTCACGCAGCCAAGCCAGATCCATGATCAGGCGCTTCTCCTGCGGGAGCTTACCGGCGTCCCGCTGGAGGATGTCATACAGCGACTTGCAATCCGTCACACACGTGATCGGGAGCATACGAATGCTGGCTAGCATCTCACGGTTGGTCACATCTAGGTCGGCATACATCATCTCGAGTATCACAGCGCGCACAAACTCTGCTGAATCAAACGCCTCGGTACAACTCTGAGTCTCGGCAGCGAAGGTACTCCTAGCCACGCGCGGCAGCGTGTGGCTTCTCCAATCCACCAGGATCGCCTTTCCCGGGCGTCCTTCAGCAACTGCACGCTCGCACAGGTAGACCAGGTACCCCGCCTGCGAGTGGACCTTCTTTCCTTGAGCGATCCGACGTAGGGCCTCATCCTCGGTGAGTGCGTTTCCCCATGCAGCGTCGTGGTAGACTATCAGGCACCACGGGGACTCCACGTCCAGCTTGGGGATGTGAAACTTCTCGCTGGCCGAGCTCTGCAGCACTCCGATGGCCTTGTTGACGTCCAGCAGGTCTTGGATGCAGGGGGCATTCTGCTTGGGCTGGGCCATAGATACCGTACACGACAGGTCGGGTCTCGTCTCTCGAGCTGACCATCCCAAACTGCCGACTGCACTGCGATTGTCCGCGATCTCGCGGGCATTACACTCCAGGTTCGGATCACGCTTCCGGGCCTTGTCGATCTCGATCAGCTCGAGCCTGCCCTCGATGAAGGTCGACTGGTCGACGGGTCCGCCTGCAGCAGCTTCCCGCAGAACACCACAGGCACGTGACGCCACTCGCCGAAGTTGAAGAGACCTCGAACTCCCTGACGTAGGGCCTGCGACCTCGTGGCTACGAGGAGATCGTCAGCATGTACGCAGACCAAGATACACAGCCTGCCGTCCTCGTTGAAGCCGCGGAACACCGTCGGGTCGAGACGGGACTGCATCATGAGGATGGGCTTGCCATCCTCGTCCTTCAAGTCCGCCTCTACCAGGCCCCGACGCAGACGTCGCCACCACAGCCGCGGCGCATCCGCAAGCCCGAAGATGCCCTTCTTGACCTTCAGGAGGCACCGAGGGTCCATGTTCGGCAGGCCCTCCTTGGGCTGAGACATGTAGAGCTCCTCGGCACGCCCGTGCTCCTCGCCCTGCATGAAGGCACACTCGATGTCGCCGGCCACGATATCGAAATCGTACGCTGCCGCCACTGCCAGGAAGGTGAGCACCGAATGCCTCGACACGGTCGGTGCGTCGGTCCTGAGCCCCATCGTGAGGTCCGGGTCGTTGTGGCCACCACAGCACAGCCGAGCCTTCGGCTTGGGCGGCGCGTCCTTGACTCCAGCGTTCTTGTTCCGGTAGAGGAACCTCGACGTCAAGATGCGGCTCTGGTGGACTCGCTCACGAACCTTCTGACTTTCCTCGACTGAGAGCGGCTCGACGGCGTCGTAGTTCTCCCACTGCTTCCACTGCAACTCGGCCGCCTCGCGATAGAGGGGGCGGTCGCTGGCTGGAATCATGTTCCATGGCGTCTCCTTTTCCAGCGCTCGACGTTGCAGCCTAGTCGTGTTCCAGCTCCGCTTCGCGATCAGGCCGAAACTGAAATTGGCGAAGTGAACGGGTTGTTCCGGATGATCGCCTGGGTGCTGAAGCGGTCCGACATGGAACGGACGGAACACCTGGCCCTGCCGGGCTTGTAAAGCCGCCCGGCGCTTCTTGAACTCCTCCTTCGTGTATGGAACTCCTTGTTCGGGTAGAGCTGGCTGAGAGGGCGTCGCTGTCGACGCCGGAGGCTCCGCGCGGGTCGATGACACGGGTCCCGATGATGCAGCTGCCTCCTGCCGCTTGCGGGGCGGCTCGTCCTCCGGGCGCTCGGCAGCGTCAGCCGGGCGCTTGTCCCTCTCGATCTCCTCGATCTCCAGCTCCAACTCTCTCGCTCGCTCCTCGAGGGTGTCCCCGAGGTCCTGGCCTTCTCTCCGCTGTAGAGGTTGGGCCTTCTCTTCTGCTTCACGTGGTCCCCGCCCTCGGTCGTCTTCGTACTCTGGCTGGTCCTCCTTCTCGACCTTGCGGATGAGTTCGTTCAGCTCCTCGATGTTGGGATCGTCGCCCTGACCGGGCCACCAGATCTCCTCTTCCTCAGCGGGTCGGAGCTGCTCGTGAGAAACTTGAACGGTCCCAGCACCATGCGAGAGCCAAAAGTTGGACGCTCCCGCTGGGCCGATGACGACGGCTGGGCCTCGCCACTCGTGGAGCTTCGTCCCCTTGCGCAGCCGCCAGTAGAACACCAGGTCACCGTTCTGGTAGTTGATGCGGGTGACCCTCGGCTTCCGCAAGAGTGCTCGACGGAGCGCTTGACTATTCTGCAGCTCCACGAAGGCCGTCCGCGCAGCCGTGCGGATAGCCATCCTCCTGGCGAGCTCCGTGGACACGTGATGCATGCTGTGCTCTGCAACCTGGCCGGGCCGATCGATCAGGTCGGCAGACATGGTAGGCGAGCATCCGTGCACCCATTGCGACGGTGAAAAGCCGCAGATCCGACGCATGTCGTTCTTGGCCTGGCAGGTTTCCCAGACGGCGGTCTCAAGGTCACCGCGGCTCGTGACTGACTTGTGCTCGACGACGCGGTTGACCATGAGCTTGAGCCAGCCGCCACGCCGCTCAGTGCGGCCGTTCTGCCACTGCGCCTGGCCCGCCACGGCCTTGACGCGGATCCCCATCATGTCCATAGCCTCCTGAAGCTCGGTGTAGAACATGCCGTCTGGGTCTAGCCTGACCACGCTAGGCGGTCCAGCAGGCCACAGCTCTCGGAAGACCTTAGCCACGGTGGCTGGCTTCCTGTTCTTCAGGTAGCGTGCGACGTGGTAAGTCGTGGAGGCCTCGACGAGCGACAGGAACAGGTAGGGCTTCCCGTGCGCGTTCCGAAGGTAGAGGCCGTCGACGCCCAGCTCGCCATTGAAGCCGCCGACGGGCGACAGGCGAGATACTCGATGAGATCCCGCAGCAGGCTTGGTCCTGTTGCACGTAGCACAGCGCAGGTGCTTGGCGCCGCGGACGAGAGCATCGTCCGCGCCGTTGAGCCTCAGGTTCCTGGCCAGGTCGTCGTTCGAGGGATGCCCGAGGTTCTGGTGAAGGCGTCGAAGGTGAGATGGAACCTCCAGCGGCAGAATGCCAGCCTTCTCCCCGAACGAGATCGCTCTGGAGCCCATGGGCTCCTCCTCGGGTGCCTCGTCGTCCTCGTCGTCGACGTCCGCCGCCATGGCCTGGTAGCTCTTGTTGTGCACCTCCTCGAACGCGTCGACGATGCGCCGACTGAAGTCCTTGGTGTAGACCTGGCTCCAGGAGATGCCCTTACTGCCATTGGCCTTCAGCTCCGCGTGGTCGTGGTCCTCTGTGCACCGCAAGCCGCAGTGCTTCTCGAAAGGTGCGTGAGTCGCCAATATCCTCGTAGGCTTCTTGACTGCCTTCCCGGTCTGAGGGCAGGTGAGGCCGTGCGCGCACATGTCAGTCTGGAACTCGACCACGCCTGGCAGTTGTCTGAGCCTCTTCCACGGGCCCTCGTTCCAAGACTGCCCCAGCCACGGGTGCTCCAGCACAGCCATGCGTCCGCCCTCGTACTGCATCCCGAAGAGCTTCTCGACTAACTTCAGCGTCGGCAGCTCCTTCAGCCGCGCCCGCCGCAGGCGCTGCTTGTCTCCCTTGAACACGAGGTTCTGCATGTGGCTCCAAATCCTGCAGGTCGGCTCGAGCACCAGGCAGTCTGGCTTCTCGCGATCCACGAAGTCGATCAGCTGCTGCTGGACCTTCGGCTTCTTGAGATCGTCGCCGTACTCGATGTCCCAGGGCTGGCCGACACGAAAACCTCGACGGGCGGCCTCGCGCGATGCCGCGGCCTTGCCACCCCAGATCTCCACGAAGTTGATCTTGGCGCCGTCCTCGTCGACCGCGACGCGCACCTCCTTGGCGTCGGTCTCCCCCGCGGCCCTGGCGAAGCTGGCAAGGTTGAGGCCAGCCGACTCGCCGATGGTCGCCGCGAGGCACATAGCTGGCAGCGTCCACGAAGTCAGAGCGCCACGAAGCCCGCTAATCACGCGCTTCTTCATCCCGCGGCGCAGGGGCCGCTTCACTTGACCAGCTGGAAACCGAGATCGAGGTGGTTCATCAGCTCCTTGTCCTGGTCGGTCTCGGCCGCGCTCGACTCGGCCTCCTCCTCGCTCAGCTCGGACTCGTCGCTCTCCTCGTCGATTCTCGCGAGGTCCTCGTCCGGGTCCCAGTCCACCTCCCCCGCCGGGACTGGCGTCGTCACTGCTGTCCGAGTCGGTGCCGTCCGAATCTTTGCCAAGCGATCTTCTTTGGTGTCCAGGCTCATGTGAGATGACGTACTCGGGGGACCTCGCTTCTTGGCCTTGGCCTGGATCTCCCTCGCCATGGGAGGTGTGCTTGGAGTTGCCTTCGGGGGCGGTCCTCCGCTGCTCGACGGCGCGGACCTTCTCGAAGGAGTAGCCGAACCCAGCAAGGACTTCGCGGAGACGGCGCTTGATGGCGTCGGACCTTCTGCTGCTGCCCACGCCTTGATCCTGAGCTTCAGGGCGTCCGCCGTCCCGTCGAACGCGATGCCTGCAGCCTGGCAGAAAGCGATGGCCTCGGGCTTCTTGAGCTTGCTGAATCCCGACGCCAGCTTTGCCCTGGGGGTCCCCTTCTGGTGTTTTGCCTCCTCGGGCGGTCGAGTGGCTCGCAGGCTTTCCCGTAGGGCTGCACACGTCTCGCTCCCCGAGGTATCCACTCCTATGGTCAGCAGCTCCGCGCGCAACTCCGCCTTCGTCATCTGAGTGATCCCCTTTCCGAATCGGTTTCACATGAGTCAACCTCGAGATGATGCACTTCCGGTAGCCCATGCTGATCATCACGCCGCGCATGGGTGTCATGAGAGCCTGGGCCGCATTCATCAAGATCTGGGCGAAGCGCCACCATGCCCGCTGAGGATCTGGTCGCTTCTGAATATGGCCCGGCATGTGCCGTAGAGGGCCCAACTGATATGGAACATGAACTTGGACTCATCCTGAGAGGTTGATTTGAGCCTGGGGCTACGGAAGTCGATGTACACGTTTGATCATCTCGAACTTTTGCTTGCTGCCTGTTTTGATACTGCTCTGCATTTTGTCTGGATCGACCTCCGTTTTGATAAGTTCGCTCTGCATTGTGATAAGCTCGATCTGCATTTTGATAAGCTCGATCTGCATTTTGATAAGCTCGATCTCCATTTTGGCGATGCTGATCTGCTTTATCATGCTGTTGCTGCTCCAGGGCTTCGTATTGCTGCTCAATCTCGCGCTGCCGCTGCTCGTTTTTGTAGACCATGAGCGTTTGCTTGATGTCCTGGACCTGGCCCGGCACTTCTGGGTGCTGAGCCTGGCGAGGAGACGGCTGACGATCATGATGATGACCTTGAATATGATATTGAATCTCTGGCGCCGTCTCGTCCAAGACTGCTCCTGGCGGCGCCGCCCAGCCTTCTGCTGGGAACTGAAGCAAGTTGAGCAGCGGATGCTGGGAGTCAGCTTCTGTGACCGGCACGGGTGGCACGCCCAGCTCCTCGGGAAAACTGAAGGTGCTGGTCCTCGGGTCGTCGCGGATCCCGAGCTGCTTCGCCGCTGGCCTCGAAAAGAGCAACGGCAGGTCGCCTGGCACAATGCTGACTCGCAGAATGCCTGAAATACGATGTGAAACACATATCGGGATCA